ATGGGGAAAAAATGCGAGGTTGATTTGATCGAAGACTAAAATCAATAATCACCTCTGGATAAACTACAAACGCCAACCCAGGACCTTCATCCACCACCGACGCCACTGGTACGTCGAGCTCATGAGCAAGGAAGCCGATTACCGAGAAGATCACCAGGCCGGCAAAAAAGGAAGTCCCGATGTTACTTATTGTCACGATTAAAGAGTCCTTGTAGCAATTGTTGGTGAACTTATTATAAGAACTCAAAGTGATCAGGCCGCCCCAGGCTGGACTCAAAGCGAAGAAAGTCTGAACGGCAGCGTCTCCCCATACTTTTGTGGATGTGAGTCTCCTCCAATCAGGAGTTAGATAGAAAAGTATACCCTCCTTAGCACCAGGAAGTAAAATTCCACGAATAAAAAGGGCAATCTATAAAAAAGCAATTTATTTATTTAAAATACACTAAATTAATCACATACGTTAAAATTGTGAACATACCAGAACAACATATGGAAAAAGAGCGGTGAAGTATACGACTTTGCCTGAGCTTTGCACGCCTTTGCTCAAACAAAGAAACACAATGAACCACGCCAGAAAGAGGCTAATTGCTATAGGCGGTCGAATTGATCCAGTTTCTTCGATTCCACTGCTGATCCCCAAAACATGATTACTAGACGCAAAGAAATATTCTGTCAATAAAAATATTGATAAAATATCAATAAAAAAAAATTAAATTTTTAATTATTAAAACTTATTAAATTATTAAATTATTAAACTAACAAGACCCGTAATAATAGATTGGACAAAACGTAATTAAAAAACATCGATCTATACGACGTATGTTATTACTGAAAATATTCCTCGGATGGCGGTTTTCTGATAGCGCCGGTTACATTTTCGATGATCAGACTTATTGCAGTCATTTGAGTTGAATTGAGGCATTTTCCTTTGAAGTAAGAAGCATTTTGAGAGACACAAGTCTCGGCAACGTCCGGCATAAAGCAATCCTCGGTGCTCCATTCCTTCTCGCATTTGCTCCAGGGTAACTTCCAATCACCTGTGCACAATTTGTTTATTCAAATAATTCTTTGAAAAAAGTAATTTCTATTTTTAATATGTCTTTACTCGCAAACAGTGTTATTTATAAACAGCTGTTCAAATTTATTACTTTTGTATCAATCAATAAATCAGATGATGCACAGAATATCCTATACATATTAACATTATTATTAACCATTGACTGAGGCAAATATGTAATACAGCGTCCAGGCGATGATTAAATTATAATAGAGCATGACAATGGAACTAACGAGAACCATTCCATATCCTAAGCCACGAAACAAAGGACAAAACTGTTCGTAAACCGCCACCGGTCCGAGACTAGCGTACTGTCCTGCAGAATAAAAAACAGTATATATATATATATAT